AAAAAAAAAAAAAAAAAAAAAAAAAAAAAAAAAAAAAAAAAAAAAAAAAAAAAGAAAGCTGACTTTAGTGGAAATAGCAAACTGAAAGGACTCTATAACTGATATAAGAAATTGTATCAGTTAAAATGTTAAAGGAGACATCAGGTCCAGATGGTTTTACCTGGAAATGCTGCCAGGCAAAATATTCGAGGAATGGATAGTTCTGCGGACAACCTCTGTCAGAGGACAGAATGAAAGGGAATAGTTCCCACCTGATTTTATGAGGTTAGTATAATTTTGAGACTCTTGGAAGAATTACAGGCCAATCTCTTTCCTGAGCAATATGCTAAAATCCTAAACAAAATATTAGTGAAAGAAATTCAGACGTTTTTATTTATCCCAGGACTGCAAGATTATTTCAACACAAGAAAAACTCTATTGTAATGTACCATGTTAATGGGTTAAAATAGAAAATTAATGTCATTTCAGTGAATACAGAAAATATGTTTAATAAACTTCAGCATTCATCCATCTTTTAAACATTGTATTGGCAAACTTGGAATAAACAGGAACCTCTTTAACCCATTAAATGGTATCTACCAAAAAAAAAAAATTACAGCAAATTTACTCAATGGTGAAACTTAAAATTGGAATCAGAATAAGAATATACACGATTAACATTTCTTTTCAACATGTACTGCACACCTCTTGTGTGTGTATATTAAAGGTGGGATGTCTTAGCAGTGTAATAATATAAGAAAAAGATAAAAATAAGGGTGGTGGGGAAAATGAAAGCTGTCATTGACATACAAATTGTCAAAACTCATAAGAAAGTTTAGCAGGTTTGCTAGTTACAAATTCATTACATGAAAAACAAGTACAGTTGTATTCATTAGCAACATACTGCTATAAAATTTAATTTTCTAAAAAGGTACTATTTAAGATAGCAACAAAAAAGTCAAAAAATCTTACAATGATGTGCAAGCCTTTTATCAATTAAATTATAAATCTTCACTCAACATGAAAAGGTCTGAATATATGGAGTGATATACCATGTTTAGGGAAGACTCAATGTCATAAAGATGGCAACTCTCTTCAAATTGATTTGATTTACAGATTATAATTTCCATCAAAATCCCAAAAGTTCTCTCTCTCTCTCTCTCTTGCTGTGTGTGTGTGTGTGTGTGTGTGCACGCGTGTGCGTGTGTGCGTGTGTGTGTGTGTGTAACTTGGAAAGCTGATTCCAAAATTTATGGGGAAGAGCATTGGGCCAAGAATAGGCAAGACACTCCATAAGAAGAGGGACAAAGTGGACTTGCTCTACCAGGATAAAGGTACAAGAATGTATACTGCACTATTGTTCATAATCAAAAATTAGAAACTACCCAAATGTTCAACAACAGTAAGACAGATAAATAAACTGTGATATATTCACAAGGGGAATAAACAAACTACAACTGCATGCAACAATAACATGGGTGGTTCACATAAACATAATGTTGGATGAGAAAAGAATATGCACAGCTGTTCAAGCACTTTACATGTTAATGAATTTCATCCTCAGAATAACATCATTAAGTGAATATGTGTCTTCTAGAGAGGATGATCCAAGAAAAGGGTGATTTAGACTTTTCAGGGATCAACAGACCGGCCTCCCTAGCAGGAGGTGAACCAGACATTGCCCAGACTTGGCAACCACTATCTAAGTTTTTTTGCCTCTATGGTCTAATAACATTTAGTCAAATATTAATGAATGGCTGTCTTGTGACCACAGAGCCCGATTCCTGGTTATGGTGAGTGGTAGAGTGGAAGTAGCACAGAATGGCCGTTTAATGAGCATCTACTATGTGCCAGGATCAGGGCCTGATCAACATCAGTATATAATGGTAAATAAGATCACACACCTACTTTCTTGTTTAAACAACAAGAACAATAGTAATAATGATAATTAACAATTATTGAGTATGTACTATGTGCTGGACACTCTTCTAAGCATGTCACATGCTTTAGCTCATCTAATCCTCACAACTACACTGTTATTAAATTCCTTTTACAGGGGAGGGAACAGAAGCCTGTAAGAGGTTAAGACACTTGTCCAAGGTCACAGAGACAGGGGGAGATAGAGCTGGGACTCAAACCTAGGCAGTCTGGATCCAGAACCTCTGAATCAGTGAATTACCCCAAGAAACACTGGGCCATAGGCATTAATCCTGTTTTATAGCTGAGGAAAGTGATGCTCCAAACTAAAGGGAGCACATATTTACTATCACCTTCTATTTGATAGAGACTATATTAGGTGACATATGTATATTATCTCTACAACGTGAAAGACACAGTTCCCAGGACTATAAGCATTCTAGTTCTGGAGGACCCATGTATGTAGAGAATGGCTTGTTTGTCACCTAAAGTCACATTCCTTTGGAAAAGACCAAGAGTGGCTGGCTGGGTGAGGGTACCTCTCAGTCTCCAGGCTCCTAGATCTCCAGATGAGTAAGTGAAAGAGCTGGTGGAGAGAAGCAGAGAGAACAAGAGCCTAGTCTTTTTTCTTCCTCTTCCTCCACTCACACCCTGTATACTATAACTGTATTTAACATCCTATATGCTCCTGGATCCTCTAAGCAACTACTGCTACCCCCAATATCCCTGAGCTTGGGCCTCCTCTAGCATTAACAGAGTAGAAACTTGGTCAACTGGCCTGTGGGGTGTCTCAATCTCGCAGTCCACAGCTGCCATATCTTCACTCACCTTATGGCCCCTCAGGCCACAATCCCTGGGCTGGATGCACCTTAGTCCACCACTGTCGCCCGTTATCTATGGGAAATGGTATACTCCAGTTTTTTTTTTTTTTTTTTTTTTTTTAATACGTACAGGTTTTGTTTGCTTTTCTTTTGCCCTTTATCTTCCTTAAATTTTCAAAGTGAGCACCACACCAGTGGGCTAGCCCTGAGAGACTGTCTCTCTCAAATTCCCAAAGCAGCAAGGGGGTCTGTATGTGCCAGGAAGGTAACACTGGAGACAGGACATTGAGTGTTTCCCAACCTAGGCAGGTATAGACTCAGAAAAGGCCTGAGAAAGGAGAGGAGCAATACTGCCCAGTGACATGGCACTGCTGCGTACCCAGCACCTGTCTCCTGAGAGATGATGCCAGGAATCATCACCTTATTTAACCCAGTCACTATCAGTCAGACAAGACCAACTCCCAGACCCTTCACAGAAATCACTAAAATGAAACACACTAGGCTATCACTGAACAGTCCTAAACTAGAAATCTTAAATTCCAAACAAGAAACATTCCAAACAAGCTCTACATTAGAAAGGAAAAGTTCCTAAAGATCTCTCTGATTAAAATGGTCTTAACCTAATCTTTCTCTGTCTTCATCTGTTTCTTTCCACCTCTTCTCTCTCATTCTCTTCCCACCTTTTTGACACTAGCCTCTATTTCATCCAGTTGTTCATCTATTCCAACTTTTAGGTTGAGGTGGGAGTGGATGGCAAGGGGAGAGGCAACCTTTGCTCTTCTACACCCACTTTACCACCACCACCTTGAAACCCACAGAAGCAAACCCCACTTACAGCCCCTTCTCCGTTGCAGCCTGCTGCTGCCGCTGCTGTGTGGAATCCAGATCTTCTGTAACCTGGTTTGGGTGAGCTCGCCCATCTCTGGAGACATCTTAGGAGTAGCAGCTAATGACATCACTGCCCACAAGGTACCTGGCCTTACTTCCTGTCTTACTATCGTACTGCTGTGGCCACAGCAGCAGGTGGACAGGGCTGGGACGGGGGGTACGCTGGGTTTCTGAGCCCTCTCAAAGTCTGTCTTCAGTCCCCTCTTCCCTTTCCTCTGGTCCTAGCCTGTCTCTGCTCCTGTATGTACTAGAAGGGGCTTGGGTGCAGAAAGCGAGAGGTTGGGCAGAGGTCAGGAGGGGCCTCTGAACTCCAAGGGCTGTGTATATAGGAAGCAAGTTGGAGCCCAACAAGGAAGGCAGCCAGCAACACAACCCAGGTCTGACCAGTCACTTCCCTCCAATGAAGGCAAGACTAATACAGTATGCAAATAAAAGACCAAAGATCATGTGCTTACAGCCTGTGTGGGGTAGAGAGGCAAAGGTGATGGAGGTAGGTCTCAGCAGCTTTCCCAGCTTTGAAATAAAAAATGGGCCCAAGGAGAATGTCAAGCTCCAACCCAGAAACAAAGATTCACATCAGAAATGCAAGGTTCCCAAGGACAAAAACACAAACACAAAGTCCCTACAGGGGAATGCAGTGTTTTGAGCTGGCAATTAGAGGCCCAAACTGGACGAGGAAGGTCCACTACCTCTCGGCTTCCCCGACCCAAAATGGCATTGCATCCCTTGTATTCCCTGGATTCTGCTGCCTTCCTTGCCACAGGGCCTCTCCCACCTAAAATGTGTTGCCTGGGGCACTCTTGAAGAGATGGGCACTATCTGATCATCTTTCTACTCTCTCTAGCCAAGGGCTAAATAAATAGGAGTAAACTGACACCTTTGGAAGAGCGCTGCCATTGCCTGGGGCTGGGGGTGGGGGAATGGTAAGCTCTGCCCACATGGCTGCTAGCCACCATCAGATGCCCTAAGGAGAATAACACTGGCATCATGAACTGATAGAAAATTTCGCTAAAGTTCCTCATGCCAAGCCATTGGGATGGAGACTTAAGAGGGTGGAGGTTGCAGCAGGGAGCAGAGAGCAATGGCCTCAGAGTAAGACAAGTCCATAGGCCAGAGCCATCCAGCCCAGATGACTCGCCCTCACTTGCCCTCTTTCCCCCTTCCCTGACCCGTTGTTTTGAGGCTTTTATGTGTAGAACTCATAGAACTGCACTGCTTTCCTGGATGACATCCAAGTATGCTCTTACTTCACTCTTTTGCAACCTTCCCACCCCCAGTGAACCTCCAATGATTGGCTACGAGGAAGCTCAACTTTCTTCCACTGAGCTGGGCTACACAAGGGCAATCTCTTGGGGACAGAAATTTCCAATCCCTGCCCTCAAATGCTCTCAGCCCTACTTTGCCTTTTAAGAAGTTCCCTAAAATACATTTGCAAGCCTTAGTCTACACAAGGGTCAGATTCCCTCCAGCTGTTGTGTATAAATCATACCAAATTTTTAACATTCCAGAGCCCACCTATCTAAATGAATCAACGGAGACAGCAGATCATAATGGTTAAGAGCAATAGGCTCTGAAGCCATATTACTTGAGTGGAATCCTACCTCTGTCCCTTGTTGGCTGTGAGACAATGAGCAAAAGACTAAACTTTTCAGTGCTTTAGTTTTCTTATCTGGAACACGAGAATGATAGGAGTGCCTACTCTCCTTAGTATTGTTGAAGATTTAATGTGTTAAAAAATGTAAAGCAATCTGGGAAATGTTAAAAATATATTATCTAACACTGTTACTCCCTGTGGGAGGTAAATGATCAGACACCTCTCTGACTAATCTGAAACTTCTAATGTAATGCTGACCATATAGAAAACCCTCAGTTAAGGAAACTTACAAAATTATGGCAAAAGCTTAACATTTATAATACACAAAGAGTTCCTGCAAATCAATTAAAAGGATGAATCAATTTTACTCTTTTCATTTTGTGTAAAGAATTGTGAGATCATTTCATCTCACCCTCTCAGGTAAGAAAACTGAGATCTAGAAATATTTTCCTAAGCTCATGTAGTAAATCAGTGGCCAAGTCAGGAATAGAACACCAGGGACCTAATTTCTCCCAGGCCAGGGCTTTTCTTTAATTAATCAATCGAGCCTGATCTAAGAATGTGGTCTTACAGGTTAGCTCAGAACCTCTAGAGTCTCAGAACTAAACTTTGTAAGAGGTACAACTCTCTTAATTCTAATAAATTTCCTAACTGGTATAAATCTGTTAATATTAATAATCTTAATTATAACCCTTTCCCTGTATGCTTTCCATTGTCCACAAAGCAACAACATATCCGTTATCTTATTTGATCCTTACAAACATCCTTGTTAACCTTACAGGGAAACTGAGGTCTGGGGAGGGGAAATGGCATGTTCAAGGTAATCTAGCCGGTCACATGAATGCCTCTTCTATGATTACAATTTTGTCCTCATGATTACAATTTTGTCCTCATGACCCTGCCAACAGGCAAAAGGATAATTTTAGCAGCAGGAAATCTGAGATAGGAAGCTGGCAGGCTTTTGACAAAGTTTGAAAGGGTAAACCTGGGGTCCAGGCTCAAAAACCCAATTTAAAATTGCCTGGAATTAGCTATGAGATTCCTCACTACTGTTACCAATTCTGATCCCAGAAGCAGGAGACCAAAACAAGCTTTATGGAAAGACCTCAGCTTGGCACTCAAGACTTCTCAATCAAGCTTTGGCCTACCTGTCCAGCCATGTCTCTCCTTAGATCTCCATGCTTAAACTGCACTGGCTGACTCACTGAGCTCCAAAATACACCGTGTATCTTCCTGTTTCTTGACCTTTGCTCAGCCTGAAATGCCATCTTTCTCCTTCTATTCCCAACAAAATCTGACTCACTTTTCAAGGTCTGGTTCGATGTTCACTTCCTCTGGGAAGCGACCCCTGTATCCTTGGGACAGGCTTTGTCTTTGGTTCTTATATTGCTTATATGCTCCTATCTGAGCAAGTATCCACCAGTATTTTCCTGGTCTGCTTCCCCACTAGACTGTGAACTCCTTGAGGATGGAGACTGGATCTCAGTGATCTGCAATTTGTGTTTCCAGTGTTCAACTCAGGCCCTGGCACAGAGGACAGACGAGATACTTGCTCGTGTTTGTGCAGTCTACATCTCCCTACCCTGGATGAGATGCACTTGTGGACAAGTAATCCTAGTTCAACAAGGTAAATATTATAACAGAGAGCTGTACAGGGAATTGGATGGGAGAACTAACTTGGTCTAAGGTAGGAGGTGGCATTTGGAAAAGTTTTTCTACATTGAATGGGACAGAAACAAATAAACAAATGAATGAAGTCCTCTCTGAAAAGGGCCAATGGACTTGTGGCAGAGAAAGGGTTCAGTCAGTACCAGATTCTCATTCAAGACCAAGCTCTGACCTGCAGCTCTTGGTCTAAAATTCTAAAATGAGGCTATCTCTAGGGAAGAAAAGATTATAATGTGATTTCCCAAGGCCCACAGATCCTGACCCCATGCCCCTCCCAAAGGACAGGGCATGTATATGGGGGGAGAATCCCATGTAAACCAGCATATGACAATGCTGATAGGTAATATAATCACGAATGGGGTCTCCCTATTGGTAGCTCTCAGACTGTTTGGGTATGAATGCATTTGTGGAGAGTGAAGGTGTGAGGGGAGATCGACCACATGCTTACAAGCTAGGTGCATGTATTTGAGTGTTAAGCCTTCTGTGGCAGTAGCCTAGGATCCCCCTCCTTCTCAGCCACTGTCCTGGCCCACCATCTCTCCACTATTTTCAGCCTCATGCCTGGACCCCAAACCTCACTGAATCCTAGTCCTAGAAGTAGCTCTCCACAGACCATAGTCGCACAGGGAGAAAAGGAGCTGGAGGGTTTTGGGTGGTATTCCTGTGGAGCCTATAGAAAAAACAAGATCACTACTCCTAGACAGAGCAAGGAAGTCCTGAAATGTCTCCAAAGAGCTTTGGTTTCTGTCCTTCTACCCTTTTTGATTGTGACAGCCCTCTGAGGACAGTTGGCCGAAGACTTTGATTTCCATTTTACTGAGGAAGCTACTGATGCCCAGAGAAGCTAGAGAGCTTGTTCAAAGCAACACAGCAAATCAACCCTACTTTATACACCAGTGGGGAGGTAAGAGATATAATCTTAATCACTCAGTTCATTCAAAACCAGGCTAGACCAAGTTACAGAGACTTTCAAAGGTGCTAGGAAATTGCCCTGGGGACCAGTGTCCCACAATGGCCAGAATGGATTTTTTAAAATATACAGATAGATAAATAGATTACATATAATCTTTTCCCTCACTTTCCCATGCCCTTTAATGCACATGCCAACCAACTACCTAGGCAAAGAAAACTTTCCAGAGAGCCTGAAGAATGGATGTGGATTTGTGCAACTCCTGCCTACTTTCCCTTTTTTTCACTTACCTTTTCTTCTAGAGGTTTTTTCTTCCATCGCTAATTATCCAGCACTGGGTTCTCTTGCATTTACAGACCTCCAAGGCAGGTCCAGTGGGTGGCATCAAAGAGGACGCCTGGAGGTATTCGTTGGTTCCCTGAGAAGGTTGAGGATGTACCCTTGTTAAGTGGGGGGTGTACGTGCTCTGTTGAAATATCAGCTGTTGTAGTTGCCAAAGAAGTTCCTGAGCCACCCGAAGACTTTTCTCTTCAGTCCAACCATGTGTTCACCTTGCCCCAAAGGTCAGAACTAATATTAACAAGCCACTGCAGAATGGGGAAATTAAAACCAGCTATGGAGACAGGCAAGTTCTGGATTTCGCTGGGGTTGAGTTTCAGATGGGTCTTCAGTGTAAATGGGCACAATCCCTTACTGGAAAGCAATCTGGCAATATGAAGCAAGAGAAAATGTTCATTTCCTTTGTCCTAGTTATTGCACTCCTGGGACTCAATCCTGAGTCAATAACCCCCAAAGCATGAAAAAACTCAGGACATACAAATTTTTATTTTATTCATAGAGCTATTTTCTAATAGCAACAACTGGTAACCTTTAAGTCCTCCAGGAGGAAAAGCAGTTTACTGGATCTTTGCTGTAACCATTGAGGATGATGGCTCTAAGACTGAAATTCTGGGGAAAAAATAATTATGCTGCAATTCTGGGTGAGGAACCTAAAGATGTATCATTATGCTTTTCCCTGGACATTAAGCATATCCATTACTTCTATTTTTTGTGCACTCAAAACCAAGCCATGAACCTGTTGATGCTCTTGTTATTGTCCTTTGTTCATTCATTCACCTGACAAATGTCTATTGCTTCCTAATATATGCTGTGTCCAGTATTAGCGGATGTGACTAACAAGATGAACCAGACATAGTCATTGCTCTCAAGCTGCTGGCAGTCTAGTAGCAGCAGAAATAGAAGTCACTGATAGCTGTTCATTGTAAGTCCTGTGACAGAATGGACCATACGGTGCTGTGGGGCCCCAGAGGAAAAGTCTTAACTGGGGAGGTGTGTGGTCAGTAAAAACACTCAGAAAAGTAATCCTTGAGCTAATTAAGACAGGGTTTGAATCTTGACTGTACCACTTCAGTGTAAGAAAGAGTGAACTGTGAGAATGAAGTGAATTCACTCGACGTCTCTAACTTAGCCTCAATGCCCCGAACTGTGTTGCCCTGAGAATGAAATGAGGTAACATATACAGAAGAGTCATGGATGCATCGGGAGACAATGCTGCTCACGAGCTTACATTTCCTGGGCCTCGATTTCACTTATCTGGGAAACAGAACTAAGAGGAAGTATGTGTCTGGCTACATCCTTCAGAATGTTAGGCGGGCCAAGACAAATAAAGGCAGGCTTGAGACAGCCTCCTCCTCCTCCTCCTCCTCCTCCCCTTTGGCCCAATAAAGCCAAAGGCCCTCCTCCTAAGTCTTATCTCAGTGGAGCAACTCTTACTGCTCCCTCCTCCAACCACGAACTTCCCCTTGCCCCGCCCAACGCGAGCACAAAGCACCACCTACTCCTGGGGCGCAAGCGCGGCAGCCTTCGGCGTACTTAGGTGGGTGGTCCGCCGCACTGAGGGCGGGGCTTTGGCTACTTCGCGGTTCCGCTCAGGGTTCCGTCGCTTAAAAAGTGGCAAAATCCCGTTTGTAAGTAACCGGAAGCACCAGGTGGACTTCTCAGTAGAGCGAAAACGCACTGAGACTCAGGTGTCCGAGCAGGAGGAGCAGGAGCCCAACTAGAAACTCTTCTCGTCATTCATTGTCCCTAGGCTTCCGCTCTGCTTCCTTCAGCGTCCGCCACTTCCTCCTCCCGCCAATGAGAGCTAAGGAAGTTAAAGCCCCGCCCCAGTGCGTCAGACGCGTTTGTGGCACGCACGAGAACGCCTGCGCAAACGCGCGCAGGAGGCGGGCTGGGCCAACTTCCGAACAACAGGCAGTTCGCCCGCGCCTAAGTTGGCGCGGGCTGTCCCGACCAGTTAAGATGTTGCGTGTGGTGAGCTGGAACATCAATGGGATTCGGAGACCCCTGCAAGGGGTGGCAAATCAGGAACCCAGCAACTGTGCCGCCGTGGCCGTGGGGCGCATTTTGGACGAGCTGGATGCCGATATCGTCTGTCTCCAGGAGACCAAAGTGACCAGTGAGCGCTCTGAATTCCAGCATCCCTACATACTTTTTCTTTTTCATGAACTTTTGCCTCTTACTCCATGTAATTTTACTTTCCCAGTTTCCTATTCTTAGAGTCCTGCCCTTAGACCCAGATCCCTTCTCCCTTAAACGCCCGTTTCCCACCCTAGTTAGATCCCCTAATTGCACTCCATCTCCTGTCTTCAGCAAACTTTAGCTCCTCCTCCAAACCCCGTAGCTAGTCAGATTCCCACTCATTCTCTGGCCCCAAATTCAGTCCCCTGAATTTCCTCCTTCCATAAGCTGTTCGTCTCCCCGCCACCCAGTCAAACCCCCCAATTCTTCATGTTTGCCCCAAGCTCAGATCCTCTAATTCCCACCCGTCTTTGACCCCAGCTCAGTCTTTGTAATTTCCTCCTTTTCACACCTCTACCTCAGATACCCCTTATCCCCATCTTTTTTCACCAGCTGAAAGCCCCTAATTCCCACCTCATTTCCCACCCCAAGCTTAGATGTCCTCTTATTTCTTCTCCCTATTATCTTCCCTCAGAATCCCCTAATGTCTTTTCCCTCCATCCCCAGTGCAGATCCCCTAATTCCCCCTCTCTTACCTCCCACCCTTAGCTCAGATGCCCACTTTCTTCCCTCATGTCCATCCCCACCTCCAGCTCCCGCGCATCGTCCAGACCCCCAGGCTTAGGCCTGATTCTTTTCCCCTCCCACCTAATTCTCAAGCTCCACTTTATAGTCTCTAACCCTCCCCTCCCCTTCTGATTCTCATATCAATTTCCTCTCTGGCTTTTCCCACCTTTCTAGCTCCTCCTGTAATCATAGATACTTCATTTCCTTCACCCCCAACTCTGGCTCTGATGTGTGCAAGGAATTAGCCTACAACTATAATTCCAGGCCTTTGTGTTTCGTGCATGCTAGTCTTACTTCTGACTTAATCTTACATTTTTTTTTTCCCCAGGGGATGCACTGACAGAACCCCTGGCTATCGTTGAGGGTTATAACTCCTATTTCAGCTTCAGCCGCAACCGTAGTGGCTATTCTGGTAAATGGGGCCTTCTGTGGACTTTAAATTAGTGATGGTGGCAGGTAGGGGAAGAGGGTTTCCAATATTTGATGAGAGGGTAATAAGAAATTTAGACATTTAGTTTACAGAGCTAAAGCTGCATAATAGTAAGTTACGTGAAATATAATTTTTATGTTTAAATTATCCTATTGGACCTCAAGTACAGTAGTAGTGTGGTACTTAATTGTGTGAACTGTGAAGCCAGATGGCCTGGGTTTGAATTATGGCTCATTTCCTAGCTGTGTACCCTCTGGCAAGTTACTTTACCTCTTGGGTGCCTCAGATTCCTCGGCTAGAAAATGAAGATCATGTTTACCTTCTAGGGCTGTTACAAGGATTAAATGAATTAATCCGTGTGATAATAGCTAAAACTTCTTGAGCACTCACCATGTATCAATGTAAAAAACTTAGAACATTAGCCGTTATTATCCTATGGCTTTTTTGGATGCAGGAAGTGAGACTCCAGGGTTTGAGTAAGGTTGCCCAAGAGCCACACTTTGTGAAGATGACTTAGGTGACCTGTGTGGGGACAGTTGGAGTGGGACAGGCTGTACAACAGGCTATTGGCTGCCAGGTCTTCTCAGAGTACCCTATCTGTTTCCAGGTGTAGCCACCTTCTGTAAGGACAGCGCTACCCCAGTGGCTGCTGAAGAAGGCCTGAGGGGCCTGTTTGCCCCCCAGAATGGGGATGTGGGTTGCTATGGAAACACAGATGAGTTTACCCAAGAGGAACTCCGGGCTCTGGATAGTGAGGGCCGGGCCCTCCTCACACAGCACAAGATCTGGTAATAGCTCTTATCTCCCTGCTACTGAGCACTGCTGGTGCGACCTTTTGAGTGTGAAGATTCTAAGGCTTGCCTTATAAACATATGTGCACCGTGGAAAAGTTCCCAAATTTGCCTTTCCTTGTTTAGTCCTGGCTGGGCTGCTCACTACGTGACCCTGGCAAATTGTGTTCCCCTCTGAGGCTCGAGTTCCATCTCTGCAGTGCTGGGCTGGCCAGGCGATCCACCTGTTACTACAGACACCTCAAAAGCAGCTTAGTGCTGAACTCACTACACCATGTTGCCCTCTTTCTGGGTGTTCTGTCTTTGTGAATAGCAGCACCATCACCTGGTTGTCATCCTTAGATGTCCCTCTCCCTGCCTTACCGATAGTCAGTCCCTAAGTCCTGTGCATGCCAGCTCATTTTCCATCCCAGACAGTCACTAAATGGAAGCCATGTGGTATGGGGAAGGGACAGGAGGGGAGGTTTGAAACTGACTCCTTTTGGGGGTTTTTCTTTTCTCCAGCACATGGGAAGGAAAGGAGAGGACCTTGACCCTAATCAACGTGTACTGCCCCCACGCAGACCCTGGGAGGCCTGAGCGGCTGGTCTTTAAGATGCGCTTCTATCGCTTGTTGCAAATCCGAGCAGAAGCCCTTCTGGCGGCAGGCAGGTACTGCAAGCCTGGGCAGCAAGGCTTCCTTGAGTTCCTCCTGAGTACCCAGCCCTGTGTCAAGCTCCATTGAAAGGGCTATGGACTCTTTGTCTCTGAATTCTTTCACAGCATAGTTGCAGACCCCAGTATGCCCACCTGAATAGGCTCTGCTCAAAACAAACATGGGTTTTGTACTCTGAGCACGTATTCAGGCTCCTACCCTTGCTCATTGTGAGCCCTAGGGCCAGTCTTGCCTCTGTTTTCTCTTTTGTCAAATGAATATATGAATCTCTACCCGACAGAATAGTTTTAAGGGTGAAATGAGATGACAATGGTAAAGTGCCTGGGAGCAAAGGAAAGTCTTGTTCCAGGGAAGGACAGGAAAGTGAGGGTGGGTTAAAGCAATCAAGGGGAGTTGGTATCTGAGTTCAGCTTTGAAGGACAAGAAAAATGCCCGTTAGGTACTGATCAGTGAGGCAGTCATGTCAAACAGGGAACACTGTCACCTTTGGAGATCAGAGTTGGGTTGGTCAGATGTGAAAGGCAGCAAGGTTGTGGTAAGATTGGAGAGGTAGGCTGCTATGAGTAGCTGTTGGCTAGGAAGCCTCAATATGGGAGGTGGCCTGTCTGAGCTCTTGGGCCCAGGAAAAAGTATATGGGCCAGGGCTGCTGCACCCCTTTCTAACAATCCCACATTGTGTTTTTCAGCCATGTGATCATTCTGGGTGACCTGAATACAGCCCACCGCCCCATTGACCACTGGGATTCAGCCAACCTGGTAAGGCTCCCTCTAGGTGCCTGGCCCCACTCCTGACTGATTCTGTTTGTCCAGCCAACCAACACTGGGTTTTTGGCCCAGGGACAGCTTCCTTTATGGGAAAGTAGAGCTTGGTTTGTAATACTATTCTTATAGTACTGAGGATTGGTCATTCATTCAATAGACAATACTGACTCTGACTATGGCCTGGCCCTGAGCCCCATACTGAGGACTCAGGAGTCAGATCCAGCTCTTGGTTCCTAGGAACTCTCAGCATGGTGGTGGGCTACAGACACATGGCTAGCAGGTTTTAGGATGGTATTCTTAGGGCAGAGGCACAGATGGCATCCCAGAAAACTATGGGAGTTCAGAGATGGGATTCCTTGGTGAGCTCAGACATCAGGACAGGCAGCTGAAAATGCCTGAATCTTAAAAGATGAGTAGAACAGAGCTTTGAGGTAGCAAAGCATTCTAGCATGGGCAAAGGTTTCAAGGTGAGAATTTGCATTGTGTGTATGGGGAGCCACAAGTCCCTTTCTTGTTAGTGACATGGGAAGGGAGGTGCTTGGCAGAAGATGGGGCTGAAGAGTTTTTGGGGAGTCAGATTTCAAGGACTGTGAATTCCACATCGCCTTGGTCATTTCCTTAATACACTCTGTTTCTTGCTTGTGAGCTTTCAATACCTCTCTGTTACCTCTGTGATGCAGAGAAAATATGGAGGCCTAGTATTCAAAGCTCTTGGTCTGTGACCTGTCTATTTCCACCTTCAGTGTCCCTACACATTTTGTCCTCTTTAGACAGATTGTTGCCTTTCTGCCCCTTGCAAAAGCTATTCTCATTCTGGCTTTTCTCACTGTGCCCTGAATTGGTGGACATGACCCCTCTCTGTCTTTTTGTTATATGAATCTCTTATCTCTAAGTCCCACTAGGCCCATGGTTTTCAACCCCCAACTGTATATTAGAACAAAAATATCAATATCTTAGCACTACTCCAGACCAATGAACTCGGTACTCTTGGGTGTGGGGCCAGAGTAGTGGCATGTTCTGAAAGCCCCCAGTGTGACTTTATTGTGCAGCCAGGCTTGAGAACCACTGCCCTAGGATCTACAAGCCAGCTGTTATCTTGGCTTGCCTCGTGTCTCATGATGGGGGATCAGTGACTCCTGCTGGCACAGTCCCACTCAGCACTGAGCTTGGCTCAGAGGAGGGGCCATGGGAATATTCCTGGATTCATTATTTGCAGAAGAGCTACATAAATGTAGATATGGCTCCAAGCTGGGAAAATGAATAGAAGTGAGAGAATGGTGGTGGAGGTGTGGTGGGGAGCAGAGAGAATGCTACAAAGTGCGAGCCTTCAGTTCCTCCCTGCCTCATTCCTCTTATGCATTTATTCAGTGTGTGCTTTCAGATTCCCGTGATAGCATCATACACCTTTATGCCGTCTCTAGTTAGTCCAGAGCTATCCTAGATCTCTCAAGTGTGTGTACCTCCTTCATTTTCTCCTTCAGGAAAAGAGAACTGATAGTGTCAGCTCAGATGACATACACAGTCTTTCCAAAATAGCAGAACGTGTCTACTTGCCACTAGGCTTGCTCTTTTAGTCTTGTCATTTCTCTAAATGGCAGCATCATCCCCTTGGTTGCTTCAACTTAAAGCCTGGGCATTGTGCCAGTATCGTCTTTCTTTCTTAACCCACTTCCCACATTCAGTCAGTCGACAAGTATTGTTGAATCTAGCTACAAATCATCTCATAATTTCATGCTTCTGTCTCCTCTGGCAGCCACCCTAGTCCAAGTGACCGTCAGTCATCTTGCTTGTGTGACTATGGCAGTCATTTCCTGCTGGGATTCTGGTCCCAAGTCTGGTCTTTCCTCAAGTCTTTTGGGTACGCAGCACGCTCCCTGCACAGGCCCAGCACAGAGACTGTTCTTAAAGTTAAGAGCACCCTCCACCTAGGTTACTCTTGCTCAGCCTCCACACCTCAGCTCCAGATCACTTCTTGAAAGGAAGCCTCCTTGGTCCCCAGGAATAGATCAGAATTCCTACTTTGTCCCTGGCATCATGCTTGACACATAATAGGTATTCCATGAACGTTTGTTGCATTGAATGACTGGGTGGGTAGGTGGATTGAATGGATGGACTAATGGATGATGGATTGGGGATCAGAGCCTAAGGAATTATTTAGACCTGGATCCTAGCAGGTCCTCAGCTCAGGAGTTAAGGATGGTCATTGAGGGCTTTGACACACCAGATAAGCCAAATAGTGCCAGAGGGTTTAAAGGAAGAAGCTGATGGGCTTCCTATCTGTTAACCCCAGCCCTACTTCATAGAGGCAACCACTTTTTTTTTGTATTTATTGAAAATTTTTTTGCATTTATTTAATTTTTTAAATTATACTTTGAGTTCTGGGGTACATGTGCAGATCTTACAGGATTGTTACATAGGTATACACATGCCATGGTGGTTTGCTGCCTCCATCCCTCCATCACCTACTTTAGGCATTTCTTCCAATGTTATTCCTCCCCAATCTCCCCATCCCCTGCTATTCCTCCTCTAGCCCCCTACCTCCCAACAGACCCCAGTGTGTCATGTTCCCCTCCCTGTGTCCCTGTGTTCTTGTTATTTAGCACCTGCCTGTGAGTGAGAACGTGGTGTTTTGTTTTCTGTTCTTGTGTCAGTTTGCTGAGAATGATGATTTCCAGATTCATCAATGTCCCTGTAAAGGACATGAACACATCCTTTTTTATGGCTGCATAGTATTCCATGGTGTATATGTGCCACATTTTCCTTGTCCAGTCTATCATCACTGGGCATTTGGGTGGGTTCCAGGTCTTTGCTATTGTAAACAGTGCTGCAGTGAACATACGTGTCCATGTGTCTTTATAATAGAACGATTTATAATCCTTTGAGTATATACCCAGTAATGGGATTGCTGGGTCAAATGGTATTTCTATTTCTAGATCCTTGAGGATCTAGAAGTGTCTTCCACAATGGTTGAACTAATTTACACTCCTACCAACAGTGTAAAAGTGTTCCTATTTCTCCACATCCTCTCCAGCATCTGTTGTCTCCAGA